GAGGGGAGGGGAGAATTCCTGGTGTGGTGTTATAGGATCAGCACTGGACCACAAAATCAGCACTTCAAACCCATCATCTACTCCTCAGAAAACCTGTACAGAGTCACTATGAGTCAGAAACAACTTGAGGGTACTTAACAATAATACTGGGGGAGCACAGTGGCTATGTAGGATAAGCACTGGACAGAGAACTACAGAGTTAGAGAAGTTCAAGCCCACCAGTAACTCTGCAGGAGAAAATTGAAGCTTTCTACTCCCAAAAAGATTTAGTCTTAGAAAACCCTATAAAGAGTCACTAAGAGTCAAAACCGACTTGACAGCACTTAACAACAACAATGATTGAATCTTCACTTCTTAGAGTGTTTTATAATATCTGTCAAAAACTGTAATGTGCTTTAACTTTGACCTGGCAATGGCACTCTTAGGAATCTAGCCAACAAAATGGCCATCACAGCACATTTTTTATATCAAAAACTTGTATCTATATGACTTGTGGTTACGTGCCATGGAGTTGGTTCCAAATCACAGTGACCCTAAACTGGGTTTCCAAGGCTATAAATCTTTACATGAGCAGAAAGCCTCATCTTTCTCCCGCGGAAGAGCCGACCCTGAGGTTCACAGCCCAATTCATAACCACTACACTACCAGAAAACAGCTAATTAGCATATATACCTGGTATAGAATACTATAGGGCTATATCTACACTGGCGGAGTCCTGGAGTGGCATGTTGTCTAATTAGCACTAGACTGCTAACCACAAGTTTGGCAGTTCAAATCCACCAGCCACTTCTTGGAAACCCTATACAGGGTAGTTACATGTCTGAACCAACTCAATGGCATATAACCAACAAGTTCCTTGAAAGAAAAGTTCTCTATTTTACTCACTACCACACTGTACCCAACCTAGTACTGTACCTGACAAAAAGTTTTGCACAATACATTATTTGCTCAAGGACTCGACAATGGTATGACTAAGTGAAGAGAGGACTCAAATTAGATATCTTAACACTTCACAACTAAAAGTCACTTCAAATGAACACAGAAAAGGTCAAGACATAACAGTTGGTCTCTCTTTTGTCAGGAAAAATTTGAGAAAATCTTTTTTATATGTCTTCATGGTTAGTGTTTTCTGAACAAAGAAACATAAGTCCTTGGTCACAGGGCATATTATAAAAAAAAACTTG